AGATGTGGGTGGGTACGGCTCTGGAAAAGGAAAACGCACTTCTGACGGTTCCTCGGAGTGACAGTACACGTCTGAGGTTTTGTCAGGATCAAAGCAATAGCTCGCAACCAACCGCTCCGAGCTACCCGGAGTAAAAGGTGTGTTGGGAGAAGAAGCATTTCCTAAAAGTGGTGGTGCTGTATGTTGAGAACTTTCAGTAAAATGTGGTGCATAGTGGAGGAAAATTGGAGCTGAGGGAGTTGGAGAAAACAAAGTGGAGTAAGAGATAAAGAGTTAAAAGTGGGGGACCCGAAGACGGACGAGCTTTTAGCGACCTTAGGCCCGGTGTCACATACAATTGCAGAACGCTGATGCCCAGGATGCGTCATTATTGAGCTTGAACTCGGCAATGGTTTTTGACGCCACTACCTCCTGAGGCAGTTTATTCCATGTATTAATTATCCGGTGCGAAAAAAGGTGGCTCTCAAGCGTTTGTCTAACTTCATGCTGTGTCTCCTTCTGTTGGGTACATCTTTCTGCTGAAGTAGGTGGAAGATTCCCTGAGAGAAACCCGCCAGGATACGGAACGTTTCAATCAGGTCTCCGCTCAGCCTTCTCCGATTGAGTGAGGACAGGTTCAGCCCCTGGAGGCGTTCGGCATATGTCGGTCCCCGGAGGTGCGGGAACATGCGCGTGAACCTCCTCTGCACTCTTTCCAGAACCTTTTGGTCCTTCTTCAGATTTGAGGACCAAGCTTGTACAGAGTGCTCTAGGTGTGACCGAACGAAGGCCATGTAGAGCGGGACTAGCACGACAGGGTCCCTGGACGTTACTGTGCGCTTTAACCTGAACAACGCTCTATTGGCCGTACGTGTCGCAGCAAGACACTAGGCAGAGGAGTTATGAGCGGAGTTCGGAGTGACCCCTATATCCCTGATCTCTGAAACTACTGCCATATCCTCCCCATCTCGAGCTCCCATGTAACGTGGCCCAGCCCCTTGAGCACTCCCTGCTCACAGGACCTTATACTTCGCTGCATTTAAAGGGAGACCCCACTCTGCAGATCATGCTTGTACTGCATCTAAGTCAAGCTGGAGGTCCACCCTCAGATGCGAGCCAAGTAGTTTAACGTCGTCTGCAAAGATGAACGTTGGGTTCGACAGACGGGGAACTAGATCATTGATGAGGACAAGAAACAACAATGGTCCAAGTACCGAGCCTTGAGGGACTCCGCTATGAGCGTGCCCGCATTGCGACCAAACCGCCTCCACCCGTACGCGAAAGTTAGTTAGCTCTCTGTGCACCTGCCAGTGTGCCTCTGAACGTTGAATGTGTCCCTCGGGAGGATCAGGTCGACCCTTACCCTCCTGTACTCCATGCTGTACAAGTTGAGCGAACGTAGTCTGTCTGGGTAGGGTGTGCATGACAAGCCCTGTACTCGTTTGGTGGTTTTCCGCTGTGCCCGCTCAATGGTGTTGACATCCCTCCTAAGTGCCAGTGAGCAAGCCCGGATGTTGATCTTCAGAAGGGGCCGTAGCGAAATTCTTGGGGAAATACTCTGGTTTGAATTTCCCCAAGAGTCGGCTAATTTGGTTGAGTTTGAACATTGCCCTCCGGGCCAATGTGTTGCAGTTAGTTTTCTGGGACAGATCATCGGTAATGACTGTGCCCAGGTCCCTTTCGTGCCGGACCATCTTCAATGTTCTACCTTCGAGCAAGTAGTCGTTTGTACTATGCCCTGTAATGTGCATAACCTTGCATTTGTCAAGGTTAAACGGCAACCCATTTGCGACCGACCAGGTAAAAAGCCTGTCTAGGTTCTCTTGTAGAGTGCACTTATCTAACGGGCTTCAAATCTCCCGGCAGATCTTAACGTTTTCTGCATACATCAATAGGTTTGATCTCGTGCCGACGGGGAGGTCGTTCACGAATATTGCGAACAGTCTGGGGCTTAAGATAGAGCCCTGGGGTAGCCCACTGGGTGCTCCAAATCTATCTGAGAGAACGCCGTTCACTCGAACCTAAAAGGTTCGATCGCAAAGGTAGTCTGAGACCCAAGCTATCAGGGTTTCGGGGAATCCCGGGTTCGCCAGCTTGTCTACTAGCAGAGAGTGACGAACTCTATCGAAGGCCTTGGAAGAATCTAGCATGACTACGTCCAGTTGCATCCATCTGTCCGAAGCACATGTACACCACTTCACCCCCTCAATGAGGTTGGTTTGACAGGATCGCTTCCCACCAAACCCGTGCTGGACATCGTGCAAGCAACCATCTGGCTCGATAAACTCATTGATTTTGTCGTCAATGAGTCCCTCTATTACCTTTGAGACCACCAAGAGCAGGGCTAATGGAAGGTGGTTGTTTGGTAGGGTTCGGTCCCCCAAATTAATTATAGGAGAGACCACGCACGTCTTCCACTCGTCCGGGACCACACCAACTCTCATAGAATGGTTGAACAGTCTTCTTAGGGGCTGTGCTAACCGCTCTGAACACTGCTGCAGTAAGATGGGTGGTATCTCGTCAAGTCCCGGTAACCTTTTAGCGTCGAGACTTGCCAGTGGTAGGGGAAAACGACACGGGTTTCATGAACCTGCTGGGTATGGAGTCTACTGCGGTGAGACCGCTTCTGTCTGTTCGACTAACAAGTTCTGGGCTGAATACCGTCGGGTAGTATTCAACCAAGGTGCTAGCTGCAGCTTTGTTGCCATCCGTGACAGATCCATCCACACGAAGGATGTCTGTAATCCCGGGTTTCGCCTGGGTCACCATGGAGATGTCCTTATAGAAATCCCTCGGGTCCGCAATGACCCAATTTAAGAACTGCCTCTGGTGCTCGTTGGTGTCTTGCTTTCTTTGTAGGTTACATTAGTTGCGTAATTTAACTTGGGCCTCGTAATCATGGGAGGTCTGGAACCATTGATGTTGGTTCCACGTGCGTCTTTTCCTTGCCAAGTTCACAATTGTACGGCGACGTAGTCGCTGTTTCCGTTTGAAGGGTCGAATCTGTGTCCGTGGTACAAACCTACGCATGGTCTC